AATTGCAGATTTAAGCTGACAAGCATTTATGAAATGCCCGTATCTGCACGTATACTGCTTGAGGATTCAGAGATAAGATAAAATGAGTACATTTTCTGTCTTGGAGGACTTTTCAGTCTAGAACAGGAGGGAAGCAAACTTGGGCTCCCTGTACAGCTTTCTGAAGACTTTAAGCTGGGCCGTGTACTGGGTTACATTCTGGAGTGGTAGTTGTCCTTCCCTTGGAAGTACATATGTAGGTCCTGAAATCTCGCCTCCCAGGACAGTGCAGGGGGGACTTCCACAGTGAGTGCTGTGGGGGTTGGATTGGATCCCAAGCCAAGAGCTGATGATGAGAATATCAGCTCCAGGAGAATAAGATTTTGCTGGTTATAGTCACTGCTATATTCCTAGGACCTAGGACAGTTCCTGGTACAGAATGAGTGCTCAATATTTAAATATATGAAAGAATGTGAATATTTTAAAACTGGGAGATTTCACATAAAAGCGTACGTTTGCTTGCATTGAATGTTGAAAAAGTGGAAGATATGGTAACAGTGGGCCCATCTATTTTTGTGTATGGCAGTGAAGAACACACCTTTGTTTAACATACCACTAGCTCAGCTCCACTGATGACATTGTCTGTCTGGTCCTGTTCTTTGCAGGCTCTGAGTTAATCACTGAGATCTCTGTCAACTCCAGGTGTCTACAAAACTGAATTTTATACTTGCAATTTTGGAGCAGAGTTCCAAAATGGAGAGGTTTTCTGTTGATTAACAGGTTGCATTGTTTGAATATCAAGAAAATTGCCTATATGACATTTGCATTACATTTCATTACCTAATCAAATCATTCAAGATACATTGTTATTACTTTCATGTTAAATCAGATGAACCATCTATTCTGACAGCAAAGGAAGATAATACTTTTGTTTAAATGAGAATTTTAAAATATATAATAGGCATTATATACAGTATATTATATGCTACATATATTATTTATGTATGTAATAATATACAGTATAATATCTATATGAGTCTTTCTGGAAACCTGATCTATTTTGATATGAGAAACAAAAAAGGATTATTCCACTATTTTTTAAATTGTAAAACACATTTCATGAGAATACAGTTTAGAGTTATAAACTTTCAACTCCAGGACCACACAAACTGAGGCAAAATTTATAACAAATGATCACCTTAGTTAATGGTGGAATGTTTGGTTAATGCCTTTGAAACTAAAAATATCTTGAAAGCATCCTTTCGAGTCAGTGACTTGTATGTAAGCCAAGAAAGAAACACACTTCTAGGCATCACTGGAGTACCATGGGGATGCATGGAATTAAAGAAATCATTTTGATGTTTTCTGGTTGAGGAAGGATCTTCCTTATTTTCATTAGTGTCATTATCCTCTGGTAAAAATGTTTCATTAGGTTATCTAGAGGAACTTCAAATGTGTTAGACAAGGTTTGTTAATCTCAGATATCAAGTTTGTCTCCTCGTACAGGTGCATCCATGGAGAAACTACTGTTATATTTTAAATTCCATTAATCAAATTCAAAATAATGGAATGATTTTCATTTTCTTCACTGTACAATGTCAGTTCATATCATCCTAGGGAAAGTTTGCCAATAAAATTGATTAGACATCCAACTTGTACTACCATGTAGTCTCATCAGTTCTTTCACATGAGTTTATCTACAATTTTATCTTGCTGTTCTTTTCCAAGGTTTTTGTTATGGTTTTTTATTATGAAGGTACTGCTTTCATAAGCTTGTGACCAGCGTGGTGATGAGTGTTGGTAATGGTGAAATGCCAAAAGGCAGGTGCTGTTCTTTTAACACAAGAAACAGACATTCTGCCCTAAGTACGAGCTTTCTAATATGTACAATAGAAAGGCAGCTCGGTGTGGTGGCTCACGCTTGTAATCCTATCACTTTGGGAGGCCGAGGTGAACAGATCACTTGAGGTCAGGAGTTCGAGACCAGCCTGGCCAACGTGGTGAAACCCTGTCTCCACTAAAAATGCCAAAAAATTAGCTGGCCCTGGTGATGCATGCCTGTAATCTCAGCTACTGAGGAGGCTAAGGCAGGAGAATCACTTAAACCTGGGAAGTGGAGGTTGCAATGAGTTGAGATTGTGCCACTGCCCTCCAGCCTGGGTGACGGAGGTAGATTCTATCTCAAAAAAAAAAAAA